CCCAGATCCACAGACACGTGCTCTCTCTAGTGTCCTTGGATTTGTGGAGCAAATTGAGTGTTACCAGGTACTGCAGAACAACTCCACACCGGACCGAAACCTCCTCTCCACCGCGCAAGAAATTGCAAATGAGATCAACCTACGTAACCTGCAGGTGAAGGTGAATGAGGTGTACCAAGAAATCATGGGGACATTTGCTAAGAAGGAAGGTTTGTTCCGTATGAATATGATGGGGAAGCGTGTGAATCAGGCCTGTCGCTCCGTCATCTCCCCGGATTTAATGGTGGAGCCGAACGAAGTCTTGCTGCCCCGACCATTTGCCCGAAATTTGTCTTTTCCTGAACAAGTGACATTTTACGCCTCTGCCCGCATGAATCTTTTGAAGCGTTGCGTCATCAACGGGCCGCGTCGCTACCCCGGTGCCACTCATCTTGAGATTCGACAAACGAATGGAGAAATTCGATTTATTGAGCTTGACGTGCCTGAGCAAACACGGCGGCAACACGCTGCCAAGTACTTTGCCATGGCGCAAAGTGGCGTCACACTGATTGTGTACCGTCATATCTTGGATGGCGACCGGGTGGTGTTTAACCGTCAACCGACATTGCACAAGCCAAGTATGATGGGGTACCAAGTCAAGGTGCTTTCTGGACACAAGACAATTCGCTTTCATTACGTGAATGGCAACTCCTTTAATGCCGATTTTGACGGCGATGAGATGAATATTCACGTCCCGCAGAGCCTGGAGGCGAAGGTGGAATTAGACGTCCTGATGGATGCCAATCTGAACTACCTCGTCCCCACCTCCGGGAAACCGATTCGGGGACTTATTCAGGATCATATTGCGGCTGGTGTCCTGTTAACATTGCGTGACAAGTTTCTTGAGCATGCCACCTTTGTTCAACTTACTTACTATGGGCTGGCACCCTACTTGCGCCAGCAACACGAAATCACACTTTCTGAGCTTATTCCTCTGCCGGCGATCTTATGGCCCCGGCCACTCTGGACAGGGAAACA